AAAGATTTCCACCTGTTGGTTTTATCTAACAAGTTTCATACTCTCATTTGTAAGATGCAAGACTGAACTCTGGTATTTAGTAAGTTATTTTCTAATATCCACATCCAATGTTGTTTTATACCTGTATGCGTGCCTCACAAGACGTATATAATGAAACATATCGTAAGTTGCTATGTCTATTATAGAAATCGGACAGCATTTCCGCTATACCAAATGTGGGTATTTGCTATTTTTAGCCTCAACGACGTCATATGTGACACATGAGCTAAACGATCAGGTAGAGACCACAATATTCAAGAACAAACGCCCATAATTTAGAACTGTTGACCGAATAACAAGAACCACTCAACAGCAACTGACACAAAAACGGCTAATCTTATCTGAAAAACATGACTAACTGAAACTTTCGTAACTTACTAAGAACAAAAGTGCTGAGCGTGTTCAGCAATATATTGCAGGCTCGAACCTTGTATCTTTCGATCATCAACTTAGTAGCTTCAAAAAAGGAAGTAAACGTTGGGATGGCTAATATCAATCCTTCAAAAACAATGCAAACAAGATAGTAGAGATGGTATTTGTATCGTTCTTACATAATAGCGCAGGCACATAGTGTAGTAGAATGTTAACAGACAAAAATAGGATAAATAAACTAAATTGTGACTGAATAGTTACATATAACTAATCAAAAACACCTTAGGTGTCAAAAAAAGTTGCGGCCAAAAAAGTATTGAACATACGACTTAAAGGAATAAAATCAAAATTGGAAGCCAAATTAGTAGCTACACTTATAGCACTGATAAGAATTTTACAGCAAATATGCATTCATTCGTTAGCCATGTTGCGTTCTTTGTTCAACTTGGGGCATGATGGTAACCCACATTAGCAACCCTATTATTCGGTACAGATTTATACTTTACAGAACCAACCAGGTTCTTTTAAATATGTGTTGGTAATTATTCCTCTCTAAAACAGTGTTAATAGCTTCCTTTATAGTAACGCCATGAAATCTAGATTAACAGTTTCGTGTCATTACCCGCACGCACTCGGTACAGCTGTACACAGCATCATTATTTACACTAATTGCTTAAGCTAATATCACTTAACCGTAAAAGCTCTTTAATTACGATAATTTCAAAGAATTTAGCAAATATGCGCTGAAAAGATGGCAATGAATAACGAATAATATCCATCCACCTCTATTATTCTTTTGAATACTGAAGCTAGAAACTGCTAATCTAGTTTGCTTGTCTTTTCCAATATTTATGTATCGGCACGTGCTTCTACCTTATAGTGTTGCTGCTCTAAATCAGCCATCTTTAGTCCGAATGACAAAAAATAAAAACGGTACAATTGTAGTCTTAGCCGAAGCTGTAATAAAAATTTTAAACTCATAGCTCAAGCAAAAATTTTGGTCAAAATTGAGAGTTTTTTGTTGAATAATTGTGCACATATGGCTTATACGTAGAGCACATCAGACACATAAGTGTAGGTTCTAAAGATCTATCATACTTTCGGTGTGAAGAAAAAAAAAGGAAGAATTTCAATCAAAATTGGAGATTTTATATCTCGTGTATGTCTCAATGGATTGTCTTAAAATTTGGTATGTGAAGTAAGGGTCAAGTAGGCACATCCACTGAAAATATGTGATAGTTTGGATTACCGCAGTCCGAGTTACAGAAAGTGGAAAATCGCTAAATTATCACCCCTGTTAATAACACACAGGTTGTTTTGGCCGCACGACACGCTACACTGTATCCTCATTGCTATATGTTAATTCTTGTTTATGCTATTATGTAGGTATGATACAAGTGCCACCCCTACTATCTTGTTTGCATTGTATTTGAAGGATTGATATTAGCCATCCTCTACATTTACTTCCTTTTTTTGAAAAGTTTTTTCTTTACTTGTTTGCTTGTATTTTTTAATGCAGTGTTTCAATAAATGTAGGAAGTTTGTATTTATAACCAAGTACTTATTGTTTATCTATTATTGGCTGTTAATTCCTGTTTAACCCTGTACTTAAGCTTTTTAAAGGAACAAATTTCTGTAAAAAAGCTAACTTCAAGGGATAATGATAACATCGTTTACACAATAATTATGATTTTTTTTATTACTACTAGTAAATAATACTTACAAAAGCGAATACTTTGTTTGAAACTATGTCACCTCAGTGAAATTGATTGACATCATTGTACTGGTTTTTGAGTTATCATGTTATAAAAAAAGAAGAAGAAAGAAGAACAAGAAATTTACATTTTTTTGCTATGATATTTACAGATATTCCCAGAACATGTGACTCAGTAATCACGTAGATAGTGTTATAGAAAGAAACACTATATATTATTGTAAAGTTCGGAAGACCTATTGAGTAGACATTTAAAATACTATTTCCATAAAGAATCCGAGCCATTCCTACATAGACAGTGCTACCGTCTGCATGATTATTTGCTGTGTAAATATTAATTTATTTTTAATAACATTATTTGTTGAAAGTTTCTTTAAAATAAACATAAATTATAGTTTAGGGTATCCATCATATAATTAAAAGGAAACACCAAGTGTGACAACTTAACTCCATTGGTCAAGCAAGAATGTCAATCAATGACGCAAAGTTTTCCATACAGTAACCCCCCGACTTTATTCTCAGGCAATGGCATACAAAAAGAAACACCAAATGAGGTAGACGTGTATGCTATAATATATAGCTCGAATCGACCCATCTACCCTTTCACTTGCGTTATCTAATATCTTCAGATTATAATTAGTTAATCAAATACTTCAGAGACAGATGAGTTTTATTGATAGATATTCTCTTTTTAAGGTAATGTACAGTCAGTTGGGAGGGAGGGATGGAAGCTTTCGCTCTAGGTTATAATAAAAGCTAAGATAAAATGACAGCTTAAAGGTTTAGCCAGTCTCTCAACCTATCTTCAACGTCTTTCTTTTTGGCACTGTAACGAATGCTTTTCCTGTGATCACACCACTCTCGTTTTCTTCAGATCGAAGGTTGTCAAAGTCTTGATCACAGAAGAAAAACAAATAGTCTAATGTGCCAAATCTTTGTTTGGATCAATGCCAGTCTACTCTTTTTTTATTTAGTTGATTACTAGTTGGTCTCATAAAGCCTCCATTCAAAATAAGTACAAATTTGTTTTTAATGTGAATATTTCATGTTAAATAAACATAGCAGGTTTAGGCTTTAATGAACAAAGGTTCAAATTAATCAGCTTATTTTCTTTTTAATCTTATTCATTTGTAACACAGATGGTAGCTGTAAGATTAGGGATTACTGTGATTGGCTGCTTTCTATTTGACTATGTATATATATTTGAAAGAAATACCCTGATTCCTAACTGGATTTTAAACATGTATGTTGAAAAATGCATAAAGCACCACAATATTAAGAATAAACCATATATTCATAGCAGTACATTTGTAAATTTCACATCACAGAAGCCATCGATTTATTTCATTGACAAAAGGTGCAAATATCGGATAAAAAAGACAAAATATTTGTTATACAATGAATGAATACAATAGAACGATATGCAAAATCCGAGTCAAGGTGTTGTTTGTATACGCAAACGAGGCTTGAAACTTTAATTCCTTTGTTTTTGTACCGATTTTTTTATGTGTCTGTTCAATTCTATATAGTGAATGTTTGTTTTGTTAAGTATATCTGCTTGGTGCTCGTACTTAGTACATAGGTTTAATGATTTTAGCGTTCTTTTTTTCCTATAGTTTGTATCAGCCCTGTAATCAAAAGATGGTAAATAAAACACGTCTGTCCATTATTTCAGCTACTTGCTGTAGATATGTTGTTTTTTGAAACTAATGACTTGTTCGGATAGTAATTGCAACTTTGTTTTAGTAATATATTTTAAACTTGTACTGCATAGCTTGATAATTTACTAATTGCGTCCATCTTCAAAAACTAGTGAAAGCTTTAATTTGCTGTAAAGTTTTGGCTTTAATGGACGGCTCCTGCCTATTTCTAAATTGGGACAACGTTTCGGTTTCTATACTGAGGCCTTGAAACATCCTTCATTTGCTGTCATATTTCAATTATGTTCAAACGTAATTTCTTCGATAAGCACATATTTTACTGTTTTAAAGTTATGTTTAATAGATAATAATTGGTTAATTGAATACAATGCCCAGATTTTCCAGGCATCCCTTAGTCTTATAATTCAAAACAATATAGTATCGATTTAATAGAGAGATCTAAAAAACATTTTTCTTAGTTTAAAAGAGCTTTTCAAATTGTAAACATGTACCTTGCCATTTAATAAGATTAGCAAAAGCGACATTTGTAGCAGAAAGGTTTTTAAAAATGCACATCGAAAAAAAAAAAACGAAAACAAATAACCCAGCATGATTTTTTTGGCCTCATTAATTCTTGTTTTCGCCATGTCAGGCATGTGTTTTCCCTTGTTTAGGGGTAATTTACGGTCCTTATGAATGTTCTTTGAATAATAGCTTTATAGTATAATTTTGTGCATGTAGCTAAGTAAATTTAAACCAGAAATGTAAAATTTAAAGCTTGCAATAGCTTACTTACCTCCAATGATCTTCATTGTTCATGCTTATCAGTACCCATATTAAGGTTTCAACTTAGCATTTTACAATAATTCTTGCATAATTCTGAAACAAGTAAAACGAACAAAGAGCTATATGCTCTTTTGTAATCTAATTATAACAGGGGAGACGGAATCCAGTCCAATATCATAGGTCTGTTACACTTTCAAGAAAAGAAAACTAAGCTTCAAACTACGACTGAACATTTCCAAGGGAAAGATAGTTCAAACTCTCTTCTCAGTTTCTTTAAAATAGTATTCTATTAAGGCCATTTTCCCTTTGGATAAACAGCTTTAACTATTTTATTACATGGATGATTAAAGATATTATATAGTATAATTGTAAGACTGTTCTTTTTTTTTAGTAATATACAAGACACCTTCCGGTAATCTAGGAACAAGCTAACGGTATTTGAAAATTACCTGTTGTTCGATCGATAACAAAGAACCCCTGAGCATTTCCAGCTGTAATATTAAAGGTTAGTCCGTCTTGGGAGTTCAAATCTTGATCGAAAGCATTTAGTCGAATCACAGTGGTTCCTGGGTCTGCACGTTCCACTACGGAGGGGTAATAGATAGGTTCGTCAGTGAGAGGTACATTGTCATTTTCATCCAGCACCTCTATGTAGAGATCTAATCGGGTCTGAAGGGGGAAAAGCTCCTTGTTTTGAGCATATACTGATAGCCAGTAGTGAGGCTGTTCTTCACGGTCGAGAGAAACTTCAGTCCAAATTATTCCTAAATAAAACAGAAGCATGTATCTGGTCAGCATTCAACATTACATAGCGCACGAAAAGGGTTTAATTTATAAAAAAAAATCAGAATATGTGATAGCACGAATTCAGCATTGTCAATATACCTGAAAATTTATATAAAAGATCACAGTTATTAATTTCTCACTCCACAAGCAATTGTGATTACATTTTCTGTTATACAAATAAGAATTGATTATGTAGGTTTATAAAATTACTGTATTCATTTTACTTGAGTTGTACAGATATTTATGTAAACGCTTGCCTTTCTTACATGTATAGCCCCTTAGTGGCTCAGCGGCAAGTTTAAAGGCTTATAACGCTAAAAACCGGGATTCGATACCATGGTAGGCACAGCACAAATAGCCCATTCTGAAGCTTTGCGCTTAACTACAAACGAAGAAAACAGACTAGGATTTATATGCTCATATACAAACAAAAGCCTATTTTAGTTATAATTTTTTTGTAAATAATTTTTAAGGATATTTTACTCTCGAACTTGCTTGATGTGACATTCAGACTATAACTTCAATGTGTTGTGGTGTGTTCTTTTAGAAAATATGATTCATTTTAATTATAAAACCATGCACTTTCTTCTTTACAACTGCCACAAATGATCTGCTGCGTATAATGTGCAATGTAACATTATAGAACTTCTCAAACTTCCTACTGTGTTTCAATACATCATAATACGATGATTACATTAACGACTAGATGTATCATACTTCCTCAGTATGTTATAATATACAAGCACTAATTTGGAAAAGTTTATGAAATTTTGGCAGAAGATCAACGAGCACGAACATCTAGGTGAAGGTATACTAGCTTCTTTCTCTATTACTGTTGGCCCCGCATGGCCAGGTTGATAGGGCGCTCGACTCACAATCTGAGGGTCGCGGGTTCGAATCCCCGTCCCACCAAACATGCTCGCTCTTTCAGCCGTGGGGCTTTATAAAGTGACGGTCAATCCCACTATTCGTTGGTAAAAGAGTAGCCCAAGAGTTGGCGGTGGGTGGTGATGACTAGTTGCCTTCCCTCTAAATTAAGAACGGCTAGTGTAGATAGCCCTCCTGTAACTTTGCGCGAATTTCAAAACAAACAAATAGCTCCTACTGTTAACTCTAGTTTCTTCTGATGATGGCGGGAAATATATAGGGTTATCCAACGACTATGGTGTTGTTTGTAATAAATTATTGCGCACTTTTGGCTTTGTGGTTTTTTTAACTTATTTAATTTCTGCACAAGTACTGTCATTTACTGTATTTGTTAACACATATTTTTACACCACATATTAACTATAATTGAACTGTGTTTATAGCCAAAGAAACTTCATTGACACAAGTGATATGAATCAGTTCATCTTGAACTGAAGCTATTTCCAGGTATCTAATTAACCTACATTATTACTTTCATCGCTAGTCTGTTATTTGTATTTTCTTTCTCATCAACGAAACCTTACTTCCAGTATGCACGACACAAATTACAGCTTAAATACCACACACAATAAGAAAAACTGGAAATGTGTCGTCTCTTGAGGATAAATGAAATGCATACTAAATAGACATACGTTGTTTCTGCAGATTATTAAAAGAATTATTGTATTCCACGTTTACTGAAATTTTAACAGCTAAATGCAATGTAAATTACACAACAATATTACAAATATATTCAAGAAAAAAATAAAACACATAATAATACAAAGGCTAAATTTAGCAGGAACTTGGAAGCCCTTACATAAATTAACCCTAAAATATATCTCGTTAGCTGTTTAAACACATTTTTCTAAACAGTGTATGCAACAAATAGCCTGTTGGTTCATATTTTATCAGTGTTTCTAATAACATATGTAGCACAGACAGAACATGTAAACAGAAATGTCTTCAATAATGCAACTAATCCCACTAATTACTGTCGATGTCCCCTATAGATTTTTCCAAGAAAATGAATGATTTCATCTTCGTGTTTGTGATATTGTAAGGAAAGGAAAGCAATATTATTAATTACCAAACACAAAAAAATGTGTCATATATATAGACGAGCAAGAATTTAAAAATGTTTTATGTAGTTTATAAAATCTGGTACGCATGGTATTCTAGATGCAATAAAACAGCTATGGATCAAATAATGTAGGTTTTTTTAAATAAAAGACTGTTAGTCCCAAAAAGGCTTATTTGAATGAGTTCACTTACAAAGCTAGCTTCTTGTGAACATGTCTATTCTTATAAATCACCACTTCCATTGTAATGAATCATATTTATTTAATTTCGTATTAACCCTCGAATTACCGACTTTTTGTATATCATTCGCCAATAGTAAAGTCCGCATAATATTGCAAAAAAATTATTTTCACCTGTTAGAACACTTGATGCATGTGAGGAGCTGACAAAAACTGTACAACTCTTGAACTAGAACAATTCCTGTCACTAAACTTTTACGCATGTCGTATTATTAGCTGCTAAGTAATGACTTGATTACACGGTTAACGAAAACTTTCTCTGTTTTCTATCATTTTTAAATTTAGTTATGCGACATTATAATAACATTGTTTGTTTTAGAATTTTCGTGCAAAACTACACAAGAGGTATATGTGCGTATTCATCCCTTCTTTTGAACTGTTAGATTAGAGGAGAAGCAGCTAGCTAGTCAACATATCCATCGTCAATTAAAGCTAACATTTAGGCTACTCTTGTCCGACCTTATAGTGGGCCAGGTGGTTAGTGCGTTTGACTTGCAATCTGAGGGTCGCGAGTTAGAATCCCCGTCCCACCAAAAATGATCGTTTTTTCAGTCGTGGGGGCGTTATAAAGTGATGGTCAATCCCACTATTCGTTGGTAAAAGAGTTGGCGATGGATGGTGATGACTAGCTTCTAGTCTTTCACTGCTAAATTAGGGACGGCTAGTGCAGACAGCCCTCGTGTATCTTTGCGCAAAATCCAAACCTTATAGTGAGATTTCACCTTATTCTTATAGCACACTTATGACCGTAACTGCGGAGTGCGTTTTTTGCGACAAGGCGTCGCTCAGTCTATTGCAGTAAAATGTACACAATTTGTGTTTCTTTCTTTTGTACCTTATATCAGTTAACTTTTAAGGTAGAAAATTCGTTGTTCATATGTTTTCTTAATGTTAACAGTTGTAGTACACGAAATGTATAATTTTGCTTAATTTTAAGCAATCGATATTAAGAGATAGACAATCAATTTTCTTTAGCTTCATGATACACAACCATACTTACTGCTCTAATTTAAGTATTTATCAAAGAATTAGAATAAAAAATATTTAAATAAGAATTAATTGAAACATAAACACGTCAAAGAGACAAAATGGAATAAGAATAAAAGACATAACCTTGTAACATTTAGAAAAAAACGACAAAAGGTAGCAACATGCAAATACGAGTGTGTGTATTTGTTTTATAGGAAAGTCACAACGGGTTATCTGGTGTGTCCACCGCGGGAAATCAAACCCCGGATTTTACTGTTGCAAGACCGTAGACTTACCGCTGTCCCAGCAGGGGGACTCAAGTATGAAAGAAACAGATTATAAACATGGTCACCTTTATTTGGCTAACATCCTTATTTTTCATAACTTAGTTAAATCAAATAATTTCGGTGGAATAAGTTGCTCCTCTCTCTCTCTCTGCCCCTCCAGTGGCACAGCAGTATATATACGGACTCCTAATGCTAGAAACCAGGTTTCGATACCGGTGGTTGGCAGAGCACAGATAGCCCTTTGTGTAGCTTTGTGCTTAATAACAAACAACAACTCCTCTCTCTTTTAATTAATATATTTCATGATAAGTAATACGAACCGTCTAATAAGTTTACATAATTTCATTAATACAACGTTAATTTCACGTCGAGGCAGACTAGCAGTTCAAACCAAGGCAAAGTCTATTTGTAAATACCCGCTATAAACCAATAACTTAAAAATGCACACTTTGGAAGCTATGTCGCCAATGCAGTTATTTAACATACCATACCAAAGCTGCAGGGTTCTTTAGAAATATGATCTCTCATGCATAAGAGCATCAATTTACATAAAGAAAGTCACAAATTTCTCCTTTCACTTACTACGTGTTTTGCTTTATGAAAAATAAAACTTGAAATAATAAAAGCGTTGCAGAAAAGACCAAATATTTTCAAAATTTCTTTATAACAACACTCATGTTAGCCTGTTTTCATTACATGCTAGGCTTAACATTTTTGTTCGAGATATTGAAAGAAAAAATTAGAACTATCCTGTTCATGTGAAACCTCCGATCGACTCCCGACTTCGCCAAAATAAAACCTTTGGATCTACCGACTAAAAATTACTGTTATTTTGTACTTGTGCTTTGGCAAAGAAAACGAAAACTCGTTATTTCTGTAAACTATACAAATGATGCACGAGGAAGTTATAATAGACGCGCATTGTAGTTTAAGGAAACTGTAACAGAATATAAATGAGAAGTATTTGTCATGACAAGGTTACGTTTCCTTCCGTGCTTTTCATTACACTGAAAGTGGTTGAAAACGAAACTTGTTCATTAACGATTGAACTTATGTTTAGAGTATGTAGCCGATACAATTTAAGGAGGCGACACATGTGTGCTTTTTTTAACGATTTAGCTTGTAGTTTAAATCTTCTGAAAAAAAAAAAACATCATTAAAAGGTTGCAAGAGCCCAGAGTATTTTCTTTTGTGGGTATTTTTATTACTTATAAATGCTCAGAAAAAAACGACAGATACACACGCTTACAGTGAGTTAACTTGTTTAATGTTGTGGTATGGTCCTTCCTTCAATTATAGTCTTACAAGATGTATACACTTTTTTTAAAAAAGTTGGTAGCTTTATACGGTTTACAGGCATTAATATTTTCTTACTTCAGTATATTATGTCAACTTCCACTTGTTATGTTTAGTTGGCGATAGAACAATAAAAGAATGAAACATCAGAAATTTCAGTAAGCAGCATGAAAACAATGTCTATTTGGAAAAACGAGC